CCGGGGCGTACAATCTTGCTGATTGATGCCGTCCCTACGCACCGACAAGAGGCGTCCTACAACAACCAACGCCGCGCTTGCACGTCGTTGCCGAAAGGTTTCTTCAAACGGGGCGCAGGTAGACAGGGAAGGGGGGGAGGGGCACGCGATTGCCTTTTCCACATGACATACATCATACTTGGCACGTCAGGAGAGAGCGGCCTTTCTGAGGCTCGACCCCTTCATCCCAAACGAACAGAGACAGATGGCGGGACTCTAGTGGGGATACATATTCAGCCGCTCTTACCAAGGCACGGAACGGTAGAGCGCAGAGAAATTTCCTCGCGCTCTGGAACCACGAGCCCGTGCACAGCATCACCACAGATGAGGCAACCACCACAGGCTACACGGCACTCCGACGTTACACAGGTTCTTCAAAATAGACGTGAATCCTTTTTCGTTGCAAAAAAGCGCCATGAAATTGCAATCGCACGAGCAAATGTTGGGGGTGTTGATTCTCCCATTGGATTGAAAAAATCACAACCACAACGCGGACTAAATAGCACCGCGCACACACACACCTGTCCAAGAAGTGCGTGAACACCTCCGACTGCTGCATGAGGTACTGCAGCCGCGTCTCCGCGTTGCCCCCGCATTGCCCATCCGCCGCCTGAGAGAGAGAGCAACAAAGAAGACGAGCCACACACGAACGAACAGATTTAAAGATGAACATTCCGCATGTGACGCTAGGATACACCACAGCAGCAACAACGAGTACTTTTGTCGGCAATTTTCGCCCCGTGCCCCATGCATCGGAACCAAGGTGCAAGCAAGCCTAGCCAGGCCTATCTGCTGCATTTACAGCGCTAGTCTGCGCTGCGACAGGTGTGCAAGTGTCTTTTCTTCTCTTCTTTCGCCTGACGTGGCGAGGAGGAAAGCGCACACCTCTGCTCTCGCTAAAAGAAAATTGACGAAAAAAAACAGACAACATCCGACGATGTACACGTGGGGGGCATACATGCGGTACCCTTTTGCCGCTCGATCGTACTAATAGGTGTATGAAAAAAGCCCAATATCCATCGATGAGCGCGCAGGGGGGGGGGGGGGGGGGGGACCNACCGCACCTTTTGCCGCTCCCGGAGCTCTTCCAGGTTCTTGGAGTGCTCCGACACCACTTCGTCGAACGAGTTGTCTTCCTTTTGGCCGCCAGCGCTGGCCAGGCCCTTGCCCCCCTTGGCCTTGCCCTTCCCCTTGCCGGCAGAAGGGGGGGGCATGGCTGCACCGCGGTACGTACGTGAGCGAGCGGGAGAGAGTGGACAACCACCCAAGCCCGTGGTACGTACGTGAGCAAGCGAGAGAGACCGGACAATAACAACAGTTCCGAGGCGAAGTTGAAGGCATCGTTAGAAAGCACACAAAGTACATACAACCACAAACATGGTACTTATGGAGGGGGCATGGCCGTGCCGCGGTACGTACGTGAGCGAGCGAGCGAGAGCGGACCGGCCACGGAGTCAGACAAGAAGGAAAAGGGAGACCAAGAGTCGAGCAGCGCCACTCGCGGCAGGTGGGAACTGGCTGTAGGCCCTCCATTAAGCAGATGCCGGGTGGTGTACTTATCACGGAAAACATGTCCGAAAGCAACAGTCTCGATGTCGGCCAAGTGCGTGTGTGCGAGTTGTTCTACGCCGGCCCTAGCAAAGTGGGCGTCCTTGTTGTCACCATCGTGCAAAATGATGTCGCCGGCTGGCATTAACTGTTCATAACAGCCGGCGACATCATTTTGCACGATGGTGACGACAAGGACGCCCCCTTCGTTTATGCCTTCGTGTCTGACTACAACAAGACTTCCGGAACAAAGGCGAAGAGACATGTTAAAACAAATGCATACGATCACAGAGAGAACTACCCGTTTGAGAGATAACCACAGCAGCAGTCGACGGGTGTGTGTTGTGAAGGCATTTTGGATAGGTTTCGGGGACCGGGTGGGGTAGGAATGCAGCAGTGTATTCTGCGGGGTCCCTTCAGCAGCTGGTAGACACCACCGAGTCCATACAGTCAGTGGCTGGCAAAACAATGAGGCCGGAGGAGGGGTGGGGGTGGGGGGGGAATGGCTGCTGCCCCTCCAGCGGTTGGTAGACAGACGAAAACGAGTCCAAACCAAGAAAATGTCAAAGGTTGAAACAATTCCCGAGCGCGGAGGAAGGAGGGGGAGCGCAGCTGCTGCGCTACTACCACAGTGTACCACAGTGTACCACAGTGTACCACAGTGTACCACAGTGTACCACAGTGTACCACAGTGTACCACAGTGTACCACAGTGTACCACAGTGTACCACAGTGTACCACAGTGTACCACAGTGTACCACAGTGTACCACAGTGTACCACAGTGTACCACAGTGTACCACAGTGTACCACAGTGTACCACAGTGTACCACAGTGTACCACAGTGTACCACAGTGTAGGGGGGGGGCATGGCTGTTGCGGCACTGTGAGAGTGGTCGCGGCGGGGGTCATGCTCACATTCCGCGTCTCCCCCCTGTCCCGCCTCCTCCAGCTCCTCTTCCTCCTCAGCGGCGTCCTCGTCCTCTTCCGCTTCGCCCGAGGCCTCCTCATCCTCCTCCTCCTCCTCCTCCTCCTCCTCCTCCTCCTC